GATCATTTAAAGTAACACAAATTGTACTTTTTTAAAAAAATTTTGTGATCCATAAAAAGTCTAGCTTTTGTTTCCGATATGTATTTTTTAATCTTGGAAGAATTGTATCTGTTCAATATACTGTGTATTAAATAGTATGAAAATTTTTGAAGTCAAAACAAATCTGTTAAAATTGATGATTGAATCATAATTAAGGCTTTCTGTCTCTGACATTTTCTCATAACTATGTCACATTATATGATAGGTAAGCACAATCTTTAAATTTCTGTATAGTTTGTTATTTAGAGGAATGGTAAAGATGGTCATTTAAGTGAAATAGTTAACTGTCCAGCTAATGATTAATGGATTGAAACTAGTTCAATAGAATTCAAATACAAATAATCAGAAGACTCTTACTTTGCAGCCTTCATTCTCACCGAACAACTTTCAATTACTGCCTAGATTCTTGAGCTTTTTAACAACCGAGAATTTTTTGAGTGTCCATTTGACTTACAATGAGGGCTTTCAGGAGTGCTTCATTGGGGTGGGAGGCAAATCCACATGCGTAGAGAAACCTCTCCTGGAGGATAATGCTACTGTCACTTCTGAAATCCAAAAAGTCCAAAATGGCTTCTAACGAGTCTGGAGTCTGGGCAGAAGTGACAGCATCCACCAGCTGGGGTCTGTAAGAAAGGGATAGTCATGGATATCAATGTGTAGGATGCTTACGGAATTATTAAAAATCTCTACCACTCACACACTCCTCACTGATTTTATTTTTTCAAAGAAGTGAAATTTTATTATTAGAAAAAAAAACAATGAATAAGACCTTCTTAAAAAGACCCCACCCCTTTTCTCTCACTTAAACAATGTATACTCAGAAAATGCAAGCTAATTTTACTATATTAATCTAAGCCAAATATAATTTGGAAGTAAATGAAAATTATATAAATAACATTCTAAATTAAGATTAATTCTCTTCTATATCAGTGATATGTAAAATATATGGTCCCCAAAATTGATTTTCTTTCTCTAGTAAGCTTTGCAAATACACACAGTTATTAAATGCCTGAATATTCAACTAGAGCAGCATTATTTAAAAGAAGAGATGAAAAATTCTTTTAACTTTAATTTATA